CAGAAGTGTAAGGCAACTTCTTTGTGACGAGTGTGGTATAAAGCTTAATTTTTTAGACGGTCACTTCTTTTTTTGTGATAACTTCCCTAAGGGCTGGAAGAGAGCTCGTGATCACAAAGGAAACAAGGCGCCATTACTTTTTTTTTTTTCAAAAAGTCGCTTCCCAAGAAAACTCGCTGTCCAGAGAATCACGCTACATCGTCAGCCTTTGGGTTTGGGATAAGTTTCTCGTGTACATTGTTTGGGTGATGCTCGAAGAGGTTAAGTGGTCCTCAACAAGCGACCTTTTATACAACTTTTATCTAGGCAATTTTCGGCCCACATGTGATAGAAGGCCCTCACATATGGTTCCTTTTTGCCACTCGGCCTCAACAGAGAATCGAACTTTGCACCCGCAACTACAGCAGGCGCTCGTAACCCATTATACCAGTACCACCATTAATGAGGGACATCACTGTGGGGTCCTTCATCTCAGCTATAAAATAAGGTAACACCATACCCTATCTCCCAAAGCACAACCCGACTGTGGATAGTTAAAAATATTGATATTGACGTCCCATCACTCTTTTGCGTATCTCCAAGGGGAGCCTTTTTTTAGCTGTTTTGTGTTATTTATGACATTTCTGGGATCGCCTGCCTGCCTGCTTTTAGTACAGCACAATACTTTAACTTTCTGCATTGCAGAAGAAAAGGCTGGGCTGATTATGTGGCAAGAATGAAAGACAACAGATGGACAAGGCGAACTACTGGACTATACTCACGCAATGTTATCGAAGCACGGAGACCATCGGAAAAATGAATTGAACTAACAACACTCATTGAGGTATTGGATGCACAAATTGTAAGGTAATTAACTACAGTACTTCAAAACTGATTTTAAGTCTTATTTGCAAAATTATTGCCTTTTCAGCTATTTTGCCCTTCTTTGACAAAATTAAGGTCGCTGTAATAATTTTGCTTCCATGGCTGAATTCGCACTCAGACTAACTAAACTATGCGCTTTTAGCGAAAATTTTCAGGGACTAGTTAAAAGGCTAACAGCAGCAGTAACTATGCACAACGTTATGCCCCAGAAATTTTAAACTTTGGTAAGAAACGAGGAACGCTGGAGGGAAAAGAGGGGCAAAGGTCATGAGGATAGGGAGGCTCTTTTTTTTAAAAAAAACTGACCTTCCGCCATTTCGTATAAGAGGAAATAGTACATCGCATACTTGTTTGGTGCCCTCATAATTGACGCCGATTGTTACACGGGCCTGCTCTTCTGGTGGCTCCTTCGCATCATGCTGAAATTCCATAATTTTGGAAATGAAAAGCTTTCGTTTTAGCTAACAATTCACAAAGTTCGCTCTGACAATCAGTACGGAGTGTCGATGCACTGAAACATAACCACACACAGGAACCACAACATTAAGCGCTATTTAAACAGTTCGAACATGCCACCTTCACTAGGAAGGAACACAAGCCATCTTTCAAGTGGGTCGTCTAAGAAATCAATTTTGATTGGCGTATACCATTAATTAATAAGCGAAGTCAACCGATTGTTAGTAAAGTGAAAAACATGTCAAACCTATCAAATCTGGTTTTCCCTGACCACAACGACACAGTGAACACAAAAAAAGGGTCTTACTTTAAAGGCAAATCCAGCGTTGTTGATAAGCACATCGAGTCCATCGTGCTCGATTTTTAGAAAAGTGGCCAAATTCTGGCAACTGTCACGATTGGTGATATCCAGCTGATGATAGCGCACATCGGAATGACGCTTTTTGCCGAGCTCTTGGACCGCTTTTTTCAACGACTCCGTACCCAGCTTTTCATTTCTAGCTGCAATATAAGAAATTCCTTCATAAGCTCTGAATTCCCTTTCCCCCACCCCAAGGAAAAAAAGCCGGCTCTGTACAAAACTGCTTTCCTCATCACTGCTAATATATAGGTGAGTCAAAACGATGGATTCTAAAAAGGTTTGTTTTTCCAGCAATACTGTAATGTGCCGCTTGTAAGCAAAAGCAGAACCTAGACTATCACCACTATTCCACACTGCATAACAGTGATTCGAAAAAAAATATTGCTTAAAAGTAAACCCAAAATTTAAATGCTACCTGATCCGGTCGAAGAGCTGCTGCGGGCAGCATTTAATTTTGGGCTTATTTTTAAGCAACATTTCTTC